CCCCAATAAAAGACTGTGCTTGACCCCTATGAGGGCCATAGATTCAGAGTGTTAACTTCTCTGTGCCTGCCAACATAATCAGAGTTCTCTTTTCTCTTTGGAGTGTTGTGTTTTCATCCCTCAGCCATCTGTTTTCCTGCAACAGTAATCCTTAATATTACTCAGTAGAAGGAAGTGGAACAGTTATATCTGATGCTAATGAGCATTCATCACAGCAATAGGTATTAATAAATACCTATTTGGTTACCATTGTAAGCTATATAGTATCAGCTTGGTGCTACCTTACAGTATATTTATTCTACTCGGAGTTTCATGCCTAAAGTCAGACACATATTCACAGATATGCACATACCATCTGAATTTGCTATTGAAAGTAGTTATATTATTTAAGAAATTTTGTGAATCAATAAAATGTGGGGGGAGGAATAGAAAACAACTGTAGACACCAGAGATAGTGTGAGAGGAGGGTGGGAAATGGCAGAGGGTCAGAAATATGGGTAAAAAAATAATAATAATATATATACACACACATATATGTATATATATATATGTATGAAAATAGAAATGGAAAATTATTGACAATAAGATGCATGATTAAGCCACTATGCAGTATATTCTGGATGGGAAATCACATTTTATATGCTGTGACAATGCGCTCAGGGAATGAATGTAAATTAATTAATTAAGAAAAAATGTTTCAGAAAAAAAAGCTCATGGAAATACGTGTAATAGGAAAACTGTGTATGAATTTCAAAAAGGTTTTGTGCCAAAATAAATTCATACTTTAATTGTAAAAAAAATAATAAAATAAAATAGAAAGATCATATTATATACTGGGGCCCAGCAGATAGCATGGTGGTTAGGGGCACTGGACTCCCATGGTCAACCATAGTTCAGGTCCCAATCCCAGCAGCTTGCTTTCTCATTTTCCCTCTCTCTCTTTCTGTCCCTATCTGGTCAAATTAAAATTAATTAATTAATTTAATTAAATAATTCTTTTTTTTAAAAAAAATCATTTTATATATTGCTTTGTTATGATGTTGATTATTGCAAATCATAGTTTAAATACCCCACAGACTGTTATATCTTCCAGAATTTAAATTTTTCTTCAAATAGGTTTTTATACATTTCTTTTTTTAATTCTAACTTTATTTATTATTATTACTATTTTCCAATTTGATCAGAGAAAGATAGAGAGAGAGAAAGGGAAGTGAGAAAGGAGACCACCAAGCCCAGGACTTGAACCATAGTTGGCCATGTCCAGCACCTTTAACCACAAGTCACCTGTCAGCCTCTTTACACATTTCTTTTCTTTTCTTTTCTTTTTTTTTTTTTTAAAAATTAATTTATTTCTTTTATCATTTCTTTATTTTATTTTTATTTGACCAGAGAGATACACAGAGAGAGAGACAAAGAGGGAAAGTGAGAAAGCAAGCCACCAGGTCCAGGACTCGAACCATGGTCAGCCATGTGGGAGTGTCTAGCGCCTTAACCACCACACCACCTGCTGGTCCCTACACATTTCTTCTTAAGTTTAATCTTAACTTCTTATTTTCTGTGTCTGTTTTAAATGAGATTATATATTAAATTAAATCTTTTAACCAATTGCTTTGGATGGTAATGACTCTGTATAATACCAAATAATAACAATAATTGTGAGCATCATTATCTTTTCCCCACTTTTAGAGAATTCCTTTCGCATTTTCCTCATCTGAAATGCTGCTTTCTAACTGGCTCTGGTGTATTTTACCATATAAAGGAATTTTAAATCTGTTCTTTTTTTTCTCCAATGTTTATATCATCAGAAATAGTGGTTGAGCTTATTAAAGGTTTTTTCCTCATGGTTATAATTATGTGGTCTTGGATCCAACAGTTGGCATAATGGCTATGTCACTGGACTCCCATGTAGTCAACCACGGTTTGAGTCCCAGACCTGGTGGCTTAAACTTACGCAAGGTGTGTGTGCGTGCGTGCCCAAGATCCCGAGAGGAGAATGAAGGAGAAGGGACTGTGGCATGGCCATCCCCCCTGGGGGGTTATTTCTCGCTTTCTGTCTCTCTGTCTCTCTCTGTCTTTCTGGTGAGTGCACGAGCCCTATAGCAAAAACCTCTCAAAAAAATTTTAAAAATTATTTATTTAATTTTTTTATTCATTCATTTATTTTAATTTGACTGGAGAGAGACAGAAAGAGGAGGGAGAGAGAGGGAAAGTGAGAAAGCAAGCCACCGGGTCCAGGACTCGAACTGTGGTCAGCCATGTGGGAGTGTCCAGCACCTTAACCACCATGCTGGTCCCCTCTTTTCTTTTTTTTTTAAATAATTGCTTTATCTAACTTTCATTTATTTATTTATTTATTTAAATTTAACCAGAGAGGGAACAAAGCGATGGGGGGAGGGGTGGGCAAGCCACCAGGTCTGGGACTCAAACTGCCGTCAACCATGTGGGAGTCCAGCGCCCTTAATCACCATGCCACCTATCGATTTTATAAAACTTTCTAACCTGGGGGACCAGCGGTGGTTAAGGCAGTGGACACTCCCACGTGGCCGACCACGAAGAGTCCCCGACCTGGTGACTTGCTTTCTCACTTTCCCTTTCTTTTTCTCTGTGTCTCTCTCTGATAAAATTAAAATAAATGAATGAATAAATCAAATTAAATAAAGTAATTCTTTTGAAATAAAAACTTTCTAAACCTTACACTGGTTGAAATGTGCAGCATGGCCCGCCCCTCCACGTTCTGATGTTTCAGGTGCGTTGTCGCTTCTGGCCACTGGGCGGCATCTGGAGGCGCGCTAGTGCTGGGAGGTTGCGCGTGCGCAGCGCTCTAAGGTTTACCCGCGTCTAGCGCTCACGCACGCGCAGTGGCGTGCACGCCCGCAGTCGTGTCCCTCTATTCCAGTGTTGCTGGGAGCGACAAGCTGACCCCGCGGTCCAACATGTCCCAGCTACCAGCAGACAGCAATGCCCCGCTGAATGTCACCACGAATGACGACAGAGACCTCCCGCAGGCGGAGGTAGGCGGCGGGAGACGGGCGCCGGGCCCGGTGCAGCCGGACCAGGTCAGGGCAGGCCGGGCAGCGGCGGCCTGCGAAGGTCCAGGCTCGCATAGCAGAGGTTGCCCGGTTGTTAGGGGAGCCGTTGGAGGAAGAGGGTCCTGAGGGCAGGCCCCGGTCCAGGCCTGGGAACGGCCCCGGCCTGGCTGCTCTGCCTTATCTCCGCCTCCGTCACCCTCTTAGTGTCTTGGGAATTAATTACCAGCAGTTCCTCCGCCACTATCTGGAAAATTACCCCATCGCTCCGGGCAGAATTCAGGAGCTTGAAGAACGCCGCAGGCGATTTGTGGAAGCCTGCAGAGCTAGGGAAGCAGCGTTTGATGCCGAATATCAACGGAATCCCCAGAGGATGGATTTTGACATCTTAACATTCACTATAGCTCTGACTGCATCTGAAGTGATCAATCCTCTGATAGAAGAACTTGGTTGTGATAAGTTTATCAATAGAGACTAGTTAAGGGATGAAAGTACGAGAGAACCACCGTATTCAAGACAGTCAATATCAATCCTGTCACTTGAATTTAAAAAGTCAAAGTACATTGAGAATAAGGCAGTGCGCAGCTGGGGAAATAAAAGGGAAGCATGAAAAAACATCTGAAAAAATGTTTAAATGTTGAAAGCAATTTAAGACTCCTCTTAACGTTCTTTGAGTGTGTAATTGATCCAGATTCTTTTCAGTATGTGGAAAACATGTCACAACATTACTTTATTTAAAAGAAAAAGATGGCTTTATAAAACTGAGACTTGATGAAGAAAGATCGTCAGGAGAGCCCATGACAATAGAATAATCAAATAGCAAGAAAAATAAGGAGTTACAGAAGAGTTATTAATATGGGAAGGCTATGTGTAGAAAGAACTTGAAACTGTGCTCTCTTCATGGCATATTCAACAGACATTTTTAGTGTAAGATTGATTTTGCGTTTTCTGAAACATTTCAAATGTCAAGCAAAGTATTATTGTATATTACAAGATAAATCAAAAAAGCCAGATTCCTGGACTTTTTTCTTTCATTCAAATTTTAATTTTTATTTAAAGTTTTTTAGGTACATAATGTATTCACAACCCCCCCCCAGTTTAAATTATACAATGAAAAATCTTCCATCTTTGTCCTAACACAGCACCTATCAGTATTCCTCATCTGTTCTAGTTTCCTTATGTATATACAAGCTAATATAGATCTGGGTTTTTTTATTTTTCTTTTCCTAGCAAAAGTTACTGGTTTATACTTGCATTTTGGTTAAGAACATATCCTGAAGATCCTTCCAAATCACTGTATTTCCTTATTCTTGTTTAGAGCTGCATTTTATTCCATTTTTGTGGTTACATTGTAATTACTAAGCAGATATATATTGATGGACATTATGTTGTTTCCCATAATTTCCTATTGGCAAAAAAGAACCAAAAAAATGCTGTAGTAGTTCACCTTGTATGCATATCACATGGCATGTGTGTAAATACAGTATTCCTTCAATTCTAAATGCATTTTTCATATGTTAACTCTGGTCTCGGTCCATCTTACATTTGTTAATGTGATACAGCATTTTTTCCAATAACGGTGCATCTTATAATCAGTAGCTTTGCAGATTCTTTGTTATATATAATATCCATAGGATGAATTCCCAGGAGGGAGAAATCTGGGCCAACAGTGCGTACTTAAAATATAAATATTGCTAAGTTGGCCTCTTTGCATGTTGGACTGCTTTACACTCCCTCCAGCAACTGATGAACATGAATGTTTCCTTACAGCCTAGCCAACACAGTAAACCATCAAAGTATGGATTTTGCCAACCTTGTAACTGAGAAAATAGTATGTCTGTTTTAAATTTTTTTTCTATTATTATGAGTGAAGTTAAGTATATTTTTATGTAAAAATCATGTTTTTCTTTTCCATGAGCTGTCTCGTCATCTGCTCATTTCTCTCCTGAATAATTTTGTCCTTTCTTTATTGACTCTAGTAGTTATGTATATATTAGTAATATGAGGTATGATAATAGCTTGCAATGTGAATTACAAACTTTTTTTCTCATTTTGTCTTTTGTCTTTGGCTTTACCGAAAGCCTCTGGGACATAGAAAGTTTATGTTTCCTGTTTTTCTTTATACCTGTAGGATTTTGAATCTCAAGGTTTTCTTAGGAAGGGCATGTGTGTGCATTCACACCACGCGTTCAGGTATATATATGTTCACATTTGAATCTTTGAGACTATTTAAATGTATCCTGAGGAAGAGTATGAGGTAAGGGTCTAATTTTTTTTTTTTTGAAAGGTTTTTGCTATAGGGCACGTGCACTCGCCAGAAAGACAGAGAGAGACAGAGAGACAAGAAAGCGAGAAATCACCCCCTAGAGGGGATGGCCATGCCGCATTCCCTCCTCCTCCATTCTCTTCTTGGGATCTTGGGCATGCACTTACACGTGCCCGGCATGAGTTTAAGCCACCGGGTCTGCCCGGCGTGACTTTAAGCCACCGGGTCCAGGACTCAAACCGTGGTCGACTACATGGGAGTCCAACGACATAGCCATTACGCTAACTGCTGGTCCCAGGGTCCAATTTTTTTAACTGCCCTAATACCAGTCACCAAGTAGTTTATCTTTTCCCTAGCAGTTTTGTTTTAAGATGCCTTTTCATATATGAAACTTTTAGATTTTCTAAGTAGTTTTGTTTTTTTTTAGACTAGAGAGATTTTTGCTATAGGGCGTGTGTGCTTGCCAGAGAGACAGAAAGACAGAAAGAGAAAAATCACCCTCGGGGAGGATAGCCATGCTGCAATTCCTTCTCCATTCTCTTCTTGAGATCTTAGGCATACATGCACACAGGCCTGGTGTGAGTTTTAAGCTGCCAGGTCTGGGACTGGAACCGTTGACTACATGGGAGTCTAGCAACTTAACCATTACACCAGCTGCTGGTCCCTATTTTCTAATTAGTTTTTAAATCTGGAAATGCTAAAACCTCTCATGCTTTTTCAGAGTACTTCTGGCTATTTTTATTCTGTAAGTATTTCCCACATTGACCTCAAAGTTATCTTATTTCAAAAAAAAAAAGTTATCTTATTTCAAACAACATTTTTATTAGAATCATGTCGTGTTTACTTAACTCAGAGATATCTGATACTTCAAGATTCTGGGTCCCTTTTTTTTGTTACAAGGCACAAGGGAGACAGAAAGCAAGAAATTACCCCCCAGGAAGGATGGCCATGCTGCCATCCTTTCTCCAGTCTCTTCTTGGGATTTTGGGCATGCACATACATGCGCCCGGTATGAGTTTTAAGCCCTCAGGTCCAGGACTTGAACCACGATCATCTACATATGAGTCCAGTGACATAACAATTACGCTATCTGCTAGTTAGAAGATTCTGAGTCTTTCTGCCAAAAGGCAGGCACCACTACATACAAGATGCTGAATCTTTCTAACCAAGTGGTCTAGTTTTCTATCTTCTTTTTTTGGGTTATTTTTTAATTTAATTTGACCAGAGAAAGAGAAAGTCAAAGTGAGAAAGGAAGCTGCCACATCTGGGACTCAAAGTGTGATTGGCCATTTGGGAGTACAGTACACCATGACACCTACTGCACCCCCACTTTTTTTTTTTTTTTTTTTTTTTTTTTTTTTGCTATAGGTCATGCGTACTCACCAGAGAGAAGCAGAGAGAGGGAAAGTGAGAAATCCCTCCCCAGGGGCTATGGCCATACCACAGTTCAATCCATTCTTGGGATTTAGGGCATGCAAATATACACACCCAGGTCCAGGACTTACACCACACTGTCAGCCGCCTTAACCTCCACATCAACTACTGGTACCCCAGTATTCCACTTTTTTTTTTTTTTTTAAGAGAGATCTTTGCCATAGAACACCTGCACTGGCTGGAAAGACAGGGAGATGGAATGCGAGAAATCACCCCCGGGGGGTATGGCCATGCTACAGTCTTCTCTGTTCTCCTCTTGGATTTTGGGCACACACGCACATATGCCTGACATGAGTTTTAAGCCGCTGGGTCCAGGACTCAAACCATGGTCAACTATGAGTTTAGCAATGTAACCATTACATCACCTGCTGCTCCCCCAGTTTTCCACTTTTTAAGGATTGTCTTTGTGTCCTTCAGTAGAGTATTAATGTTTATGTTTTTTATTTATTCTGTGAGAGAGATAAGCACTCTCAACAGGGTCCCCACACCATGATCCACTCCTGTTGTCAGCCAGCTCAAATCACAGGCTCATGTGTGCACCAGTTATCCCCAAGAGGTGAACCCTGGACCCTCCCATGTAGTTCTAGTTGCATCACTGTTGTGCCATCATCTGGTTCTTAAAGTTTACTGTAATGTCCTTAAAATAGGTCTTTCACAGATCTATTCATTTATTTCTAGATAGTTTATCTTTTTTTATAGTAAATCAGAATATTTCTGTTATATTTTCTATAAGCTTACCCTTAAATTTGAAAATTGATTCCAAATATTTATCTGATAGCCTGTTAATGTACTGAATTCTCTCACATTTATATTTGATTTTTCAAATGCTCTTTTTTTTTTTTTTTTTGAAGGTTTTTGTCATAGGGCACCTGTGCTCACCAGAGAGAAACAGTGAGAGATAAAGTAAGAAAACACCCCCCACCACCATCACCCCAGGGTTGGCCGTAATCCTTCTTTCTTCATTCTCCTCTTGGGATTTTGGGCATGTACGCACATGTACCTGGTGTGATTTTCAAGCCATTGGATCCAGGACTCAAACTGCGGGTGGCCATGTGAGAATCTAGCACCTTGACCACCATACCACCTTCTGCTCCCCCACCCTGAGAGTTCGTGGAAAGGGCTTGCCACATTGCAGTCCCTCTGCCCCAACCTCCCAGTTGTCTAGGATGACAGGTGCATGCCACTGTGCCTGACTTGTAGGCTGAGCCTAAAACTGAACCCAGGCCTCCCTTGTGGCCTCAGCCATCACACACAACAGTACCCTCCTGCTTGCACCCTGTGGCTGGGCCTTTTTATTTTTTTTTTTTCCTTTTTCTTTCTTTTCTTTTTTTATTTTTATTTTTATTTTTTCATTTCTGTAGGGTGTGTGTGTGTGCTTACTGTGGGGGTGGGGGGAGAGAATTAGTGAAATCATCCCTCTAGGTGGATCACATCCCCAAGGGGGGGGGGGTGGCCATGCCACAATCTCTTCTCCAGTCTCTTCTTGAGATTTTGGGCAAGCACACACACGCAGATGGCATGATTTCAAGCCACCAGGTCTGGGACTAAAACCATGCAGTCAGCCATGTGGGATCCAGCTGTCAACATCCACACCAACTGCTGGCCCATAATTTTTTAGTATTTCTGACTTCCTTCTGTTTAACATATTGATGTATGGGGGGGGGCAGCAGGTGGCATAGCGGTGAAGGCACTGGACTCCATGTGGTCAACCACAGTTCACGTCCCAGACCTGGCAGTTTGAAACTCACCAGGTATGTGTGCGGGCATGTCCAAAGTCCCGAGAGGAGAATGGAGGAGAAGGGATTGCAGTGTGGCCATCGCCCCCTGTGGGGGGTGTGATTGCTCACTTTCTGTCTCTCTGTCTCTCTGGTGAGCACACAGGCCCTGCAGCAAAAATCTCTAAAAAAAAAAGAAAAGAAAAGGAAAGGAAGTTGGATGATAGTGAAGGATCCTTATCTCATTCCTGATTTTGTGGCTATTTTTTTTAAGAATTATTTATTTAATTTTATTTATCCATCCATTTATTTTAATTTGACCAGAGAGAGGCAAAGAGAGAGAGCGAGGGGAAGTGAGAACGCAAGCCGGCAGGTCCAGGACTTGAACCGTGTTCGGCCATGTGGGAGTGTCCAGCGCCTTAACCACCACGCCACCTGCTGGTCCCCAGATTTTGTGGATATTCTTTATGTATTCATCTACTATGTCTGAGTGTTTTATCAGGAATGATCGTTGATTCCAAAAAGCCTTTTCAGAATCTATGAAGGCTGGGACCAGCGGTTAGCATAATGGCTATGTCCCTGGACTCCCATGTAGCCGATCGTGGTTCGAGTCCCGGACCGGGAAGCTTAAACTCACTCTGGGCGCGTGTGCATGGGTGCCCAAGATCCTGAGAGGATCATGGAGGAGAAGGGATTGCAGTGTGGCCATCCCTCCTGGGGAGTGACTTCTTGCTTTCTGTCTCTCTCTGTCTTTCTGGCAAGTATACATGCCCTGTAGCAAAAGAAAAAAACTCAGAATAAATAAAAAGAATCTGTGAAGGTGATACCAGGGTTATTACATATCTTCTACCTTGTGGAATTATGTTTTGAGTTACTGGTAATGCATGATATTTGCATTTGTCAAATTTACTAATGAGATATGATTTTTTTTTTAATTGCCAGAGAGTGTACATACCCTGCAGTGGTATCTGGTCACACTATAATCCTTTTTTCTCGCATTTCTCAATCCTGTTAGGATTTTGGGCATACACACGCACCCTGTGCTTTTTTTTTTTTTTTTAACTGAAATAGATATGATTTATTTATAAATGAAGACTAATGAAAAATTTACCGTATCTCAAAGGTTGAAAAAAGCTACACAGTACTAAATACACAACTTTTGATTTTCTTCAGATTCAGTTTTCATGGGTTTTTGTTGTTTTATCATTTTCCTATAGAGTATGTGCACTTGCTGGAGAGACAGAGTGAGCACAGAGAGTGCACTCCCCAGGGGGAGGCCACAAGACAATCCCTTCTCCTTCATTCTCCTCACAGGATTTTGGGAATGCACACACAGGCCCAGTGTATTTCTCAAGGTACCAGTCAGTCACATGGGATCCAGACATTTTAACCACCATGCATTCACTTGGCCTGCGTTTTGTGATTTAATTATATAAAGATGAGTCAGGGTACCAGCAGGTGGTGTGGTGGACACTCCCACATGGCCGACCAGGGTTCGAGTCCTGAATCTGGTGGCTTGCTTTCCCACTTCCTTTCTCTCTCACTTTCACCATCTGTCTCTCTCTGGTCAAATTAAGAAATAAATGAATGAATAAATAAATAAATAAGTATAAAAAAAAAAAGATGAGTCAGTTCTGCAACCTAAAAATACTTACTTATTAAAACTATACCAATACTTTAATCAACTATACAAAAAGTATAATGACACAAACATGTGCATTTATAGAACTGCGTGTCAGGCCAGATCCCTGCGGAGGGAATTCCCGGCATAACCTCACTCATCTGTGAGGACATAGAGCAATCCTTTTTTTTTTTGGAGAGGTTTTTGCTATAGGGCGCATGCCCTCGCCAGACAGAGACAGAGAGACAGAAAGCAGGAAATCACCCCCAGGGGGTATGGCCATGCCACAATCCCTTCTCCTCCATTCTCCTCTCAGAATCTTGGGCATGCACGCACACACACCCGGCGTGAGTTTAAGCCACTGGGTCCGGGACGCGAACCGCAGTCGACTACGTGGGAGTCCAGTGACATAGCCATTACACTAACTGCTGGTCCCAAGCAATCCTTGTTCATCTAACTTGTCTGGCGTGGTCAGACCTCTCCTTCCTGATGGCTTCCTCCTGCTTAGGAATGTGCACGTCCAGTTGTCTGCTTCTTAGAGCAGACGTTCACCTTCCTTGTCCACCAGCCATTGGAGAGGGACTGGGGCCACGCAGATAATTGATTCGACCCATTCTTCGGGGAGGGTTTCTGGGTGGCCCTCTTCCATCATCATATCTGGAATCAGATGAGTTTCCATAGCCTCTCTTTTTCACATTTTGCTGAAGCAGAGTTTTGAAAAACAAAACTACAAACTCAGCTATTCCCCAGAAAAAAATCTGTTATCAAAGATAACCTCAACGGGGGCTGACTCCGGCTATCCAATACTTGTCCGAGATGTAAACCATCACGCCTCCCATTCCCCGCTTCGGAGCGGCCATAGAGCTCAGGCCTCCTCGGCTTCCATATCTTCACCCTGTGCTTTTCAAGCCACCTGGGCTAGGAATCAAACAGTAATTGCCGTAGAGGATCTGGTACCCAATAAACAGTACTCCACCACTGTGCTACCAAGCTAGCTCCAGAAGTATTCTTTTATGTGCTACTAGATTATTTTTCTTTTTTTAAAAGGATATTTACATTCATGTTTGTGAGATTGCCATTTAATTTTCCTGTGCAGTCTTTGTCACTTTTAGATATTTATTTTATTCTAAAATATGTAGAAATAATTTGGAAATTTTCTTCTAAGTTTTGGAACACTAGAATTCACTGGGATTATCCTTTTTTTCTTTTTCATTTTATTCAGTACGATTACAGAACACGCAGCATGCTACATAACACACTGTATAAACCTTCTAGCAGGGATAGATGATCATAACTGAGTTATTTTTCATCAGTCAAAAACCGCTTCCTGGGACCAGCAGTTAGCATAATGGCTTTGTCACTGGACTCCCATGTAGTCGACCACGGTTCGTGTCCCGGACACGGTGGCTTAAAACTCACACCGGGTGTGTGTGCGTGCATGCCCAAGATCCTGAGAGGAGAACGGAGGAGAAGGGATTGTGGTGTGGCCATCCCCCCTGGGGGGTGATTTCTCGCTTTCTGTCTCTCTGTCTCTCTCTGTCTGTCTGGCAAGCGCACGCGCCCTATAGCAAAAACCTCTCCAAAATAAATAAATAAATAAATAAAAACTGCTTCCTTAATCAATGTTCTCCAAACCCTTTGACACATAGTGACAATTAACTCCAGAGATGCACCGATCTCTTCCCCTCAAATGCCACTGATAGGTAAAATGGGCAACCCTCTTTTCCTTGTCCCTGTTCATGAACTTGTGCATGTACGCAGTGACCAGTCCAGGAATGACCAAGCACATGCCAATGGCAGCAACCCCAGGGAGAATCTCGAACCACATCTCGGCACCCAAAATCTGGGATTATCTTGTTTTTAAAAGATTTTATTTATTTAGGGGCTGCAGGTGGCGTGGTGGTTAAGGCACTGGACTCCCACATGGCCGACTGCAATTTGAGTCCCAGACCTGGCAAAGTGCTTTCTCTCTTTTCCTTTCTCTCTCTGCCTCTCTGTGGTATAATTAAAAATAAATAGTAACAACAAATAAGTGTATAAAAAGAAAAAAGATTTATTTTTTCATTTGACTAGAGAAAGACAGAGTGAGAAAAAGGGAAAGAAAAAAAAAGCGAGCCACCAAGTCTGGGATTTGACCCGTGGTCAGCCATGTGAGAGTCCAGCGCCTTTACCACCACACCACCTGCTGGCCCTTTTTTTTTTTTAATTGCCAAAGGGCACATGCTCTCATGAGAGATTGGGGTTGGGGTAGGGAGAGCACTCTCCAATGGGGCATGGTCCCTTTTCCTTCATTTTCCCATCCTGTTGGGATTTTGGGGTATGTACACATGCCTGGCATGGTTTTTCAGGCCACCATGGCTGAGAGTCTGCTGTCAGAATGGGATCTGGCTCTCTTAACCTCTAAGCTAGGGGACTGGCCCCATTGTTCTTTTTTTTTTTGAGAAGTTTTTGCTATAGGGCGTGTGCGCTCACCAGAGAGACAGAGAGAGACAGATAGAAAGCGAGAAATCACTCCCTGGAGGGGGATGGCCATGCTGCAATCCCTTCTCCTCCATTCTCCTCTCAGGATCTTGAGCACGCACGCACACGCACTGGCGTGAGTTTAAGCCACCGGGTCCAGGACTTGAACCACGGTTGACTACATGGGAGTCCAGCGACACAGCCATTACACTAACTGCTGGTCCTGGAATTTTCCTTTTTTTTGAGAGATTTTTTGCTATAGGGTACATGGGCTCACCGGAGAGACAGAAAGTGAGGAGTCACCCCCCAGGGGGATGGCCACGCTGCAATCTATTCTCCATTCTCCTCTTCGGATCTTGGGCATACCATGTACATGCACCCAACATGAGTTCTAAGTCACTGGGTCTGGGACTCGAACTGTAGTCAATTACATGGGAGTCCAGTGACATGACCATTATACCATCTGCTGGTCCCTGGAATTCTCTTTCTTAATTTGGTAGAATTTCTCTTTGGAACCATCTAGGCTTATACTAAGGGTGGTGAGGGGTAATCGCTCTTTCAAGACTTTCTCCATTTTTTTTCTCCCAGGGTACAAGCAATAGATTTTTAGGTACCTTGAAAACAAGTCCTCGCTGAGTTAAAATGTAACATTTTTCTTGACTTTCTTGACCACTTGCCTTTCTTTACACTTAGTAGTGACTAGAGGGGACTTGCTGAACTTGGAGTGTTATATGATAAAGTGTATATAGTACATATAAAACTCCTCGAAATTTTCTCCATGCATGAATGTGCCTCGTGACATTTTTTGAATGGCAGAATGTGGCAGGAATGACATTGGGCAAGTTTTGAGTCTAAGTCTTTAGAGACCTTGCAGCGTCCATTTTTATCCTCTTGGAATGCTGCCCCAAGGATGAGGCTACATGGAGGAGAGCCAAGGGCCCCAGGAAGCAGCCAGTACCAACTGCCTGACATGAGTGAGGAAACCTTGGACCTTCTGGCTCACGCAGCCATTCTAAAGTTCCACAAGTGAGCCCAGACGCCCACAAAAATCATAAATACTAAATCACTGCTGTTCTAACAGACTTTTTTTTAAGAGATTTTTGCTATAGGGCACATGTGCTTGCTGGAGAGAGAGAAAGACAGACAGCAAGAAATCACCCCTCAGGGGATATGACCACACCACAATCCCGTCTCCTCCATTCTCTTTTTGGAATTTTGGGCACACATGCAAATGCACCCAGCGTGAGTTTCAAGCCACCAGGTCCGGGACTCAAACCACAGTCAACCACATGGTGAATCCAGCACCCCAGCCACTACACCAGCTGCTGGCCCCTAACAGACTAATTTTTGAAGTGTTTTGTGATGCAGCAAAGACAAACTGAAACAAATGTGATGATCATATCAGATCAAAACCAGGAATACACGAAATTTGAACCCAAATTAGTATTTTCTTCCTATAGTGCTTTTACTTTATTTTTATGTTTTTGCCACAAGGCATGTACACTTACTAAAGAGAGACAGAGAGAGGGAAAGTGAGAAATTACCCCCTAAGGGGATGGCCAGGTGTGATTTTTCCAGCCACCAGGTCTGGGACTAGAACTACAGTTGGCCATGTGGGAGACCAGCACCTTAACCACCACACTACCTCTGGCTTCTATACTGCCTTTTTTTAATAGTCCAGCTTGTTGTTTCTACCTCAAGTGGTGTTCACTAACTAGAGTTAGAGTCAGACTCACGTTAAGTTGAGTCCAGTTCAAGACTGCCCTCACTTTAGATGCCCTCACTTTAGTTGCAAGTCTCAGGGGCTACCACAGTCCTGAGTGACCAGCTATAAATTCAGGGTATCCACACCTCCTCAGGTTTGGTAATTCACCAGAACAACTCACTGGGAGTGCTATACTTACAATTTTATTATAAAGAATATAACTCTGGGGCCGGCAGGTGGCATGGTGGTAAAGGGCACTGGACTCCCACATGGCCAACCATGGTTCGAGTCCTGGATCTGGTGGCTTGCTTTCTCACTTTCCCTCTCTCTGTACCTCTCTGGTCAAATTCAAATAAATAAATGAATAAATAATTTTTTTTAATAATTTTAAAAAATAAAAATAATACAACTCGGGGCTGGCTCCATAGTGCAGTGGTAATAAACGGCTTTTAAAAAGTCAGATCCCACATAGCAACTACAGTTCAAATACGCAGTATGGTCAGCCTGAAGCACACTGCATACATGCATAATTGCGATATACTGGAGGAAGAGGATTGTGGTGTGACTGTGCCCTGTGGGAGGTGCTCCTCTCTCTTTCTCTCGTGTGCACACATGCGCTATCAATTTTTAAAAATACAAGTGGGAGGGACCAAATGTTAGCATAATAGCTATGTCGCTGAACTCCCATGTAGCTGACCATGGTTCAAGTCCCGCACCCGGTGGCTTAAACTCATGCCGGGCACATGTGCATGCGTGCCCAAGATCCGGAGAGGAGAATGGAGGAAAAGGGATTGTAGCATGGCCATCCCCCATGGGGGAGGTCATTTCTCGCTTTCTATGTCTCTGTCTCTCTCTGTCTTTCTGACGAGCACACGCACCTTATAGCAAAAACCTTTCCCCAAAAAAATACAAGTGGGAGCTAGCAAATGGCATAGTGGTTGAGGCGTTGGGCCTCCATGTGGCCAACTGCAGTTTGGGTCCTGGACCAGGAGGCTTGCTTTCTCGCTTTCCGTTTTTCTCCCCTTCTCTGTCCTTCTCTGGTGAATTAAAATAATAATAAATGAATCATTAAAATTAAAAATAAATAGTTCTTTAAAAAAAAACCTGGGAGGCTTTTTTTTTTTTGGTTTTTTTTTGGTTTTTTTTTTCGTATGGCATGTGCACTTGTCATAAAGACAGAGGCTGTAAGAGGGAAAGTGAGAAATCATCCCCCAGGGTGATGGGCACACCACACCCCCTTCTCCATTCTCCTCTCGGGACTTTGATCAAGGTGTGGGTGAGTTTCAAACCACCATATCCAGGATTGGAACTAACACTATGCCACCTGCTGGCCCCAAATGAATTAGGTTTCATTAGGTAGCATGATTGATCGACTCATTGACCAAGTAATTGAACTTGTCTCTAGCCCCTTCCTCCTTATCTTCAATTAGGCTGCTGCAAAGGTCTGACGTTTTTTATCACATGTGTTTCTGGTGACCAGCCCCAGGCCCTGTCTAGGCCCATCATTACAGATGCTCCTCAACTTATGATGGAGTTACTTCCAAATAAACCTATTGAAAGTCAAACATATTCTTAAGCGGAAACAGTACTTAATACCCTAATAAGACCAACATAAATAGAAAAAAATCTTAGGAGTATCTTGAGAGAGGGAAAGTGAGAAATCCCCCAAGGGAATGGCCACACCACAGTCCTTTCTCTTCCATTCTCCTTTTGGGATTTTGGGCATGCACACACGTGTGTCTGGCTGATTTTCAGACCACCGGGTCCTAGACTCGAACCACAGTTGGCCATGTGAGAGTCCAGCACCTTAACCACCACACCATCTGCTGGCCCCCCTGCTTTGGAATTTTTGATAGCTGTTACTACAGTGCTCTCTCTGCAGCCTCAATATTTCTCTAGCACACCAAGCTGCATCCTGCCACAGGGCATTTGCACTGTCCCTTGCCTTTACCCAGAATGCTCGTCCCCAGACATATTCCATCTGTTCCTTATTTACCGTAATTACATTTAAAAATCCCATTCTGTTGTTTCCTCATCAAGTCGGCTTTGTGAGTTAACGCTGAGAGAGAAGGTTGCAGAGTGCAGTTTTAATGATGGAAGTCTTCACCGCTGACCAAGAAGACAGGTGAGGTGGCGGGGCAGAGAGCTGCCTTGATGACTACAGCTGTACGGGAAGGTGCGGGTCCTGTCATAAGGCCACTTCAGAGCTTCCGGTCTGATGAGGTTTCAGTTCAGATGCGGCTATTCATAAAAACTTCAGTCCAGTTCTCAAACTGTGGTCAGCCATGTGGGGGTCCGGTGCCCTTAACCTCCACCCCACTTTTTTTAAAAGAATTATTTTTTATTTAACTTTATTTATTTGTTTGTTTTAATTTGACAATAGAAGGACAGAGAGAGAAAGTGAAAAAGCAAGCTGCCAGGTCTGGGACTCCAAACGGCAGCAGGTCAAGTCTCTTAGGAAAACGAGACACGTGTGAAATGTTCCTATCTATCTGCAACATCTGTGTTCCCTGATAAATGAAATCTGCCCTGGGAAGTGTTACTCAAAAAGGACTAGATTCCCACAGCCTCAGACACTCATGCTGGGGCCCGGGACCGAGCAGGAACCAAGAAGGAACATGTGATCCTCCTGCTCAGTTGGCAGATTGAAGGCTTGGTTGCCCTGGAAATGGTGG